TATTCACCCCGTCCACATGTCTTTCCCAGACTTATGCGGAAATGGATCCCACAACAGCAGCCTTGGAGAAGGAACACGAGGCGGTAAGCAGAGTCAAGGGCCTTATTCGAGGTGTTCCCTCCCCATTCCTTCCTTTCCCCTGTTCAACTATGCACTGTCCCCACTATCCCTGCAGATCACCAAGGTGAAGTACGTGGACAAGATCCACATCGGGAACTATGAAATTGATGCCTGGTACTTCTCACCGTTCCCTGAAGACTACGGGAAACAGCCCAAGCTCTGGCTCTGCGAGTACTGCCTCAAGTACATGAAATATGAGAAGAGCTACCGCTTCCATTTGGTGAGTCTGGGCTGGGCCTGGTGAGAGAGGCAGGCATCAAGGCTGAGGGCAGCTGAGCTAGCAGCACCAGGAAGAGAGACAGGTCCAGAGGAGTTGAGTACAAGGAAGAGCTGCCCAAGAGTCAAGAGACCTGGATTCCAGGCCTGGCTTTGTCATTGCTGGCAGGGTGACCTTGGCCAACTTGCTGTTCTTCTCTACACCTCAGTTTCCTCTTCTCTGGAATAGGGACAGTAATCTTGACACTTACCACCTCCTCAGGTCCCTTGCCCTTTATCACATGTTTCCCCAGGCCACCCCAGTGCCAGGCTCCTCAGTGCAAAAGAGAAAGCAAACAGAGCCCCTGAGCAATGGGACCTTAAGGTGTGGACAGATGGGAAGAATTGGTACACGGGAGCTGCCGGGAATGGAGCGCTCTCCTCACTAGCACAGTGGGCCGTTTCCCAAAGCGTGCAATCTGAGGCAGATATATGTCGTTTAGGAAAGCCAGTGTCATGGATGAGTGAGTGCCCTCTAGGGCCACGCTGACGTAGACCTGAAACCATCTTGCTGTGTGATAATTGAGCAAATTGCTTAGCCTCTCTGTACCTTGGTAAAATAGGATCTCTCTCGTAAGATTGCTGGGAGATTACTCAATGTAGGTTGAAATGTTGAATAGGGGAGACAGAGGCAGGGACTTGCTCTAAGCCACACCGTGGTAGTGTGGGGAGGCACCAAGCAGAGAACCTCTGGGTCTCAAGCCTCTGTTCCCCCACACCACCCCCCAGGGCCAGTGTCAGTGGCGGCAGCCCCCTGGGAAGGAGATTTATCGCAAGAGCAACATCTCTGTGTACGAAGTGGATGGCAAGGACCACAAGGTGAGCTGGTGGCCAAGGGACTGTGGGCAGGGTGGGGGAAGCACTGGGTACCTCCTAGAAGGGTAAGGCCAGCCTGAGGGTGAGCCTCTATGAGAAAAAGGCCTGTGAGGTCTTGCTTAGCCTGGCACTTGGCCTGTGGTCAGTACATAGTAAACTCATTGCTCTGTGGTGTCAGCCTCAGGCCAGTTTCCATTCTGTCCCTGAGAACTTTTCTTTTGATGGGGTCAGTTCAAACTTGGGTAGATTTGAAACCCAAAGTGGAGATTGTCTTGCCTGAGGCTGCTCTTAAAAGAGCTTTCTCCTTCCCTTTCAAGGAAAGGTGTTTGTTTTTGCCTGGGAGGGGACTGCTTTGTGTGAGATTTCCTGCCTGAGAGCTCTCTGGCTTAGGAGGGCTGAGTTCCTTGTTCCTGGCAGAATGACTTCAGTGAGGCCTTTGGGGCCTGCTTTGTCACTGTTGAGAACTTGACGTTTGCTTGGTCAGTCTGGGAAGGTCTCACCAAGTGTCCCTCTGTGGAAGGGCAATATCGTGTAAGACGAAGAGGGCAGACCTTACAGTGGCCCTGTCACTTCCCCACTGACCGCAGACAAATTACTTAATGTTGTTCGTTCCTGTTTCCTTGTGCATATGACAGGAGTCATAATATTTACCTAATCGGGTAGTTAGTGGAGCAAATGAGATAGCAAATGTCAAGTGGTTAGCCTGGCATCTAGTAGGTGCTGAGTAAACATGGGCCTTTGTTATTATTGGTGACCTGTTGGGGCTCAGTTAGCCTTGTACTTGAACACTTTCTCTGAGCCCAGCCCTTGGGTGCTGCTCTGCCTTCCTGAGCATGAACAGGTGGAACGGCAGAAAGGGCTCCTGCTGGAGATGTGGAGTGTTTCCCAGCCTCTACCCTCTGTCAGCTTGAGGCCTCAGGCAAGCGCTTCCTCTCCCAGAGCTTCAGTTTCCTTCTAAGTAAAACAGTGCTGCCAGTGCTGGGCAGACACAATTGCCAGGTCAAATAAGCGAGTGGATATCAAAGGGTGTCAGAAACCGTAGAGCCCCTTAATCTGTCATGAAGCCAAACTCAGGGTTTCATTGTCTCCTGGTGCTGGTCTGGGTGGGTCTCTGTGTCTGCAGCTGGGAGACTGGTGAGGCCCAGCACAGGAGTGTGGCCAAGCCGGCAGACAGACCTTTACCAAGCACTCAGCTTCGTGCGTCGCCTTGTGCTAGGTGCTGGGGGACACAGCTTTAAACTCGACAGAACTCATATACTGATTAGAATTCCTGCCTGGCACTCACCAGCCTTGGGACCTTGGGCAAGCCACTTATCTCCTCAAAGCCTCAGTTTCCTGGGCTGAAACTGTCGGTGTCTTTGAAGATTGAACAGATGATTTGTGGAAAGCATCTGGCTCGTATTTAGCACTCAGCAGTGGTAGCCATGACCAGTCCTGCTCTGCCATTACCTCCCAGAGTGCTACAGGCTCTCTGATTTTCCGTTTCCCTGCCCATCAGAAATGGACTTCTTCCTGTCCTAAATACTAACTGGCCTGGTGAGGAGCCCTCTTCCTACTGGCCTGGCACTGGCTGCTCTTCAGAGCCTGGCACTTGGAGAGCAGGGTGGCAGCTCATGCCCAGGCTGAGTGCAGGAGTTGCAGGAGTTGTACTTGCTCCCTGAGCCTGTTCCCACCTCCTTTGCCCCTCAGATTTACTGTCAGAACCTGTGTCTGCTGGCCAAGCTCTTCCTGGACCACAAGACGTTATACTTTGACGTGGAGCCCTTCGTCTTTTACATTTTGACTGAGGTGGACAGGCAAGGGGCCCACATTGTCGGCTACTTTTCTAAGGTGCTGGGTCAGAAGCTCAGGTTGGGGGAGGGGAGGGAGGATAATGGAATAGGGGCTGAGCCTCCCCAGAGGTCCTGAGCAGCCACCCCCCACAGGAGAAGGAGTCTCCAGATGGAAACAACGTGGCCTGCATCCTCACCCTGCCCCCCTACCAGCGCCGCGGCTACGGAAAGTTTCTCATTGCTTTCAGTGAGTGGATCCTGGCCTGTCTGGGAAGGGGACACCTGTGGTGGCAGGGGTACCAGGGTGGGTTGGGTCCTGAGATCCTCTTTCTACCACTGCCAGGTTACGAGCTCTCCAAGCTAGAGAGCACAGTAGGCTCCCCAGAGAAGCCGCTGTCTGACCTGGGCAAACTCAGCTACCGCAGCTATTGGTCGTGGGTCCTGCTGGAGATCCTGCGGGACTTCCGGGGCACACTGTCCATCAAGGACCTTAGGTGAGGGCCCTCATCCCCATCCATGTCCAGGGCAAGTTGTCCATCCAAGACCTGTGAGGGAGGCATCCTGGAACCCTCAAGGAAAGGGCCCTCCTTAGATTGGCCATGATCTTTTCTCCTTGTCCCCTTTTGCTGTCCCAACCAGACCCTATAAGGGAATTATCTCCACCATCTGCTTTAATCCCTTTCTGCAGCCAGATGACCAGTATCACCCAGAATGACATCATCAGTACCCTACAGTCCCTCAACATGGTCAAGTACTGGAAAGGCCAGCATGTGATCTGTGTCACACCCAAGCTGGTAGAGGAACACCTTAAAAGTGCCCAGTATAAGAAACCACCCATCACAGGTGGGTAGGGGGGCTGCTGCACACAGGTGCGTGCATATGTAGGTGGGTGTGTGTGTGTAGGTGGGAGGGTAGACAGATACAAGACCTGCTGAGAGCCAAGGCCTCCTTTTTGCTGTCACATGATCCCAAACCAGTTGGACCAGCTGCCAGGATAGAGCCTGGGGCAGGTCACTCATTCCTGGGCTTCCCTGCTCACCCCCCTCCCACTCAGTCTGCCCTTTTGTTCTCAACCGGAGGAGGTGAAACCTGGCCTGGGCCCAGAGCGGAGCAGCCAGGTGTGAGCAGGCCTGGCCCGAGGCCCAGCCCTGCCTCTCCTGCCTCTTCTCCCCACAGTGGACTCTGTCTGCCTCAAGTGGGCACCCCCCAAACACAAGCAAGTCAAACTCTCCAAGAAGTGAGCAGCCTGTGCCCCTGCTGCTGGACCTGTGCCTCTTGCCCGTAGCCTGTAAATATGTACAGACCTGTTTCGTCATTTTTTTTAATAAAGTAAATTCTGCTGGTGGCTTTGGACTTTGGAGGTGGGAGGGAGAGGCCAAGAGCTGACGGTCTTCATCTCACTTTACATTCACGCGCCTGTTGTGCTCAAGACATTTTACTCCTCCTCGCTCCTTCTGTCGCTTACCCCAGATGCAGGCCCCAGCCCGGTTCCAGCGGGGGCTCAGTCCTCTGGATTCTGGGAGTCAGGGCTGGTGGGGGGCGGGGGGCTCACCAGCCAATGGGGCAAGATTGGGGCCTTTTCTGTCCTTCAAAACAAGCTGCCCAAAGGCAGCCTGAGCCCAGAAACAAGGAAGAGGGCAAAGTGCAGGCCTAGTCAGGCAGGGCGGTTGGGGCACTGGAGCAGCTGTCAGCTGGGCAGGTGCCCGGTCTTCTGGAAATAGGTGGGAGCCAGAGGTCCTTGGGAACTCTATGGGAGCCTAGCCAGTAGGCTTGTGGACACCAGGTGGAGGTGGCCAGAGGTTCTGGCCAGCACCACAGGCAGTAAAACTTGGACTGTGGATTATAGTCACAACATTAAACCCAGAAGAATAGGCTCAAAGATCAGGATGGTGCCCTGGCCTCCCACAGAGTCCTGGAAGGAAGGAGTGGCTCACCAGGGCCCAGGCGCAGGGAGGGGCCAGATCCCTTCCTGGGAACAGGCACATGTCCTTAGGTGTGACTTTGTATCAGTCCTGGAAGTAGGGGCAGCTGCCGAGGTGAGTAGCTCAATGCTTGTGCTATGGGCCGAAGAGGCCCAGGGCCAAGCCCAGAGGCAACAGAAGGATGGGCCCCAGCAAGCCCCGGGCCAGGGCAGAGCTGAAGAGCAGAGACTGGCTGCAGAGGTTGCCATCAGGCTGGGACTCCTGGATTTGAGGCACCACATGAGGCTGGAGTTCTTTCGCGTGGTATTGGATCCAGGAGGCATAGCTGGAGGTCAGAGTGTACACACCAGGCCTGTTGGGGGCCCCACAGGCGTCGCCCCAGCTCACAATGCCTGCCAGGTACCAGAGGCCCTCCACGGGGCAGGAGAGTGGGCCCCCAGAGTCACCCTGAGGAGAAGAGCCATACAACAGCTGTCAGGAGCAGGCCCCAGGCCTCCAGTCACCCATGCCAGCCCTGGTCTCTCAAGAGGCACTGTCTCGTCTGCCCCGCCCCCGCCCCAGGCCCCTGCATTTACCTGGCAGGCATCCTTGCCACCTTCCACATAGCCGGCGCACACCATGTCCTGCTGGATAAAGTGGGGCTCCTCGGGGTTGGCGTTGATGTTGTATAGGCAATTACAGGTCTCGCGGCTGATCAGTGGCACCTCGAGCTGCTGCAGTGGCCTGGGGTTCAGGAGGCTGACTGTAGGGGAGGAGATGTTTACCCAGGGCCTCCGACCCCAAGTGGGGCTTCCCCCTCGTGCTGCTTGGCATCCAGCGCCCCACCTCACCTGAGGGGGCCGTGTGGCCCCATCCAGTGACAGTACAATGAAGGCCATTAGGGAAGGAGGCATTGGCTGCAGGGAGGCAGATGGGCCGGATGTGGCGGGAGAAGGTGACAGAGCTTCTAAGGCGGAGGAGTGCGATGTCACCCTCAGAGCCCTCCTCACGGTAGCTGGGGTGGACGATGACCTGTGCCAGGGTGCTGACACTGGCGTCCTGGGAGTAGATGTCCAGGTAGTGGGCCCCCAGCTTTACTTCATAGTCTTCTATGCGGTGGTCGCTGCGGGCAGAAGGGCCGAGGCTGGGACCCAGGGGACCTCTCTTTGTTCCCTCATCCCTGTTGCCTTGTAGCATCCAACCCTTGACTCTGATCAGCCCCTTGTAGGCCTTAAATTGCACCCTAGTTTTATCCTGTAACCTCTGACCCCTCACCTTCACTTCTAACTGGTCCTTTCAGATTTTGCTGATACCCTTAGACCCAACCCAGGAACCCCAACCTCTGAGCTGGATTGACCCATGATCTTTGACCTTCAATCCACTTTTGACTTCCACCCCCTGCCCCTCACCCAACTGGTACCTGGGGAAGCAGTGAGCAGCTGACAGCACCCATTGCTCAGACACGAGAGAACCGCCACACACGTGGTTGCCATCATAGGTGATGCTGACCTGCCAAGGCCACTGACCAGGGGTTGCACTGCTGCCACCTGTGATGCGTGCTTGGGGGACCACACCACAAAGGGCTGCCCGGGGAGGAAGGGAGGGGAGTCAGATCCTTAGCCCTGTGGCACCCACATATCCCAGGCGATCTGGTTTAGAGCTTGGGAAGTGGGTTCACAGAAGTCGGCCTCCCTTCTGTCTCCACCCCACAGCTCGCCAGGCATGGGCAATCTGAAGATCTTCATAAACCACAACTAACCAGGTCACACCCCTGCTTAAACCCTTCCACGGCTCCATGTTGCCCTTACGATATTCCCGGCCTTCCATGGCACTACCATCTACTCCAGCCATCCCTCTGGGCACTTCCTGTTACATACAGCAGGCCACACACTTGCTCCTCTCTGGGCCTTTGCGTATCGCCAGGAACACCTTTCCCCATCCTTCCTCTGCTTGGTGAACTTCTCTTTGCCTGTGGGGACTCTGTTCAAATGGCAGGCCCTCTGCAGCCTGTCGGAGCCTGCTGGCTGAGCTGGGCATTGCCTCTGAGCTCCCAGGGTCCCCGCGCTTCCCCGACACTACCCAGTCTCACAACTGTTCTGGTGTCTACAACTGTGTGTTTCAACCACACCAACCTGGGCATTCCCTAGGGGCAGATTCTCACGTCCCCAGTGCTCATGGAGTCATGGATGTGTGTTGTACAAACGAGCAGAAGAACTGGGTTCCCGTGATGTGACCATCTAGTTTCCAGGACTGCCCAGCCCCACCCCTACCAAGGCCGCTTTGCAGTGGAGCCCAACTGCCCTTCACAAAGTCACCTTCCTAGGAGCCGAGAAACTGCCAGCCAGACTCCTCCTCTCCCTCATAATCATGACAATAGCTACTATTTAGTGAGGTTCCAGCAGTGCCAGGCCCTGAAGGGGCTTTCACTTCCTTTATCTCCTAGAGCCCTCACTATAGCCCCAGGAGACAGACACAATCAACTGCATTTTAGAGGTGAGGAGACCGAGGCTTAGGCAGGCAGGTGATGGGACTTGGTCAATGCCACACAGCGGGCAAGTGGTGAAGCCCGGATTGAAAACCTGTCTGACTCAGAGCCGGGTTGTGTGCCTTCGAAGAAAGGAGGCTCTTGGTTTGTTTACCTCAAAACCATCTCAAGTGCCCCACTTTGCCAGTCGGAGGTGGGTTTAAATCCCAGCTACACCACTCACTGGCTGTGTGCCCTTGGGCAAATCACTGCTTCTCTGCACCCAGTTTCCTTACTCACAAAGTGAGGGCTACAATCCCCCCTCACAGAGCGACTGGGAAACTCAAACGAATGTGGGTGGGTGGGACAGCCCGGCAGAGGGCCAGGCACTTGTTGAACGCGCAGGGGAATCTGAATCCATGTCCCCTCCTTTTTCCCCTCCCCCATTTCCCGGGCAAGCCTCACCTTCAGCCCCATCAGCTCCTGGAGAGAGAGAGAAAGAAGGAGGGGTAAGCACGGAGGACCCGAGTTCCCTGACCCTTCCTTTAATGCCTGCCACTTCTCCAGAGGGCTGGCCCCCTCCCTGGGAGGGCCAAGGTGGAGGGGATTCTTGAGCCTCAGATGAAGATGTGTTCCAGGAAAGGATTATACCTGCTCCCTCCAGTGTGTTACCCCCAATCCCCCTGCCCTGCACAGACTTACCTGTTGCTGACCGGAATAATCCAAGACAGAGCAGAATGACCACAGCCTCCAGCTGCCCAGGCCCCAGGCCCGCGCTCTGGGCCATGGCCCAGGACGTGGGCGCCTGGGGGAGACACAGGGCACACAAGGCAAAGGACGCTAGGGCTGGTTTCGAAGGAAGGATCCAGATGTGTCGGCTCCGAGGAAAGGGATCCCTGAATCCGGCTGGGAAGGGGAAGCAGGTGTCCAAGCCTGGCTTCTAAGGCAGGGAGTGGCCACGGGGGGCCCGGGGGGAGACGCTTGAAGTCTCCGAAGCTAGTGTGAACGTGTCTCCAGTCTGGCACGGCCTGGCCCCGTAGAGACCTTCCTGGAGTGGCGGCTCCTGGAGCGAAAAGGCATCTACCTGCCGGCCCCGCCCCTGGCCCCGCCCTCTTGTTCAGCTCGGGCCGCTCAGCTTGCCACCGATGTCGTGAGTCCTTTCAGACTCCAGACCGGTGTTGCGTGGGGTGCAGGGGTTAACCAGCCAGAGAGCAGTCTGAGGCCAGACTGGAAAATCTGATGGCCAGCCTCCCTGGATTGTGAGCCTACTATCCTCGGTCCTAGGTGTTTCAGGTCTCTCAAGCCAGTTATGCCCCCCAGGGCCTAGCCCAGCCTTTGTTATCTTGGGGCCACAGTCACTCCTCCCTCCCTCCCTCCTTAGGCCCGGTTTTGGAGGCCAGGCTCGGGCCATTCCAAGCCCTTTCTGTGAAGCCTGCATGGGCAGGTGGCAGTCACTTCTGGCCCATCATCCCACAGACATTTACTGAGTATCTGATGTTCCTGGCGCAGGGGACAAAACACACACTAGCCCTGTTCTCCCTGAGCTCACGGTGAGGTGGGGGTGATGGACTCGAATCAAATAATCACAAATAATTATAGAATAGTTTCCAACCAGGAATTGTGATGCACAAGAATGGGGGCTCTGGGGCGAGCGAACAGCAGCTTGACCAAGGCAGGCATCGTGGAGGGTCCTCGTGGAGGGGCCGCAAGAACTGAGACCCATGAGGGTCATGAAAAGGTGTGAGGGCAAAGATGGGGGAGCTGTGGCCCAGGGGCAGCATTCTAAAGCAAAGGGCAAGGCCGGGCACAGTGGCTCACGCCTATAATCCTAGCACTCTGGGAGGCCGAGGCCGGATGATCACTCAAGGTTCGAGACCAGCCTGAGCAAAAGCGAGACCCTCGTTTCTACTAAAAATAGAAAGAAATTAGCTGGACAACTAAAAATATATAGAAAAAATTGGCCGGGCACGGTGGCGCATGCCTGTAGTCCCAGCTACTTGGGAGGCTGAGGCAGGAGGATCGCTTGAGCCCAGGAATTTGAGGTTGCTGTGAGCTAGGCTGACGCCATGACACTCTAGCCTGGGCAACAGAGCGAGACTCTGTCTCCAAAAAAATAAAAATAAAAAAAAATAAAGTGAAGGGCACAGGTGGCAGAGATGTGACTGGGGTGGGGGTGAGGTGCACCCTCTGCAGGGGGTGGGAATCTGTGGCAATTCCAAATACCTGTGGAGTCCAAGCTTCAGGAAAAACAGACCCTCACCCAGTTTCCAGAAGACTAGGTGACTGGCCCCCTGAGCTGGGTCTTCAGGGCCCAGGCTGGAGGTCAGGGAACTAACTCTAGGAGGGGCTGACTTGGGAAGGGGTCTAACTGGGGAGGAGGGGGCAGCAGGACACAGGGCACTGTCGGTGGGTTCAGGCAGAGGCTGGGGTGTATTCAGGGTTTGTAGGTGATGGCATCTGGGTGACAGACTGGGTATGTACATCCCTGTGGTGTTTCTGGGGGATATTCTATTTGGGATTGGATCAAGCTCTGAGGGATAACTTCCAGCTCTCCTCTGGAACCCCCTCCCCCATCCTCCACCTACTCAGCCCAGAGATTGTGCCCAGCCCCAGAGGAGACGCTCTGCCACCCTCAGCAGCTGGCTTTCACCCCAACACCCCTCTTCCCCACGTTCTTATTCTTTCCTTTTTCTCTGCTCAAACATCGCCTCCTCTGTGACCCTTTCCTGATCCCCAGGCAGGGATGTCCACATGTGTTCCCCACTAGATTGGGAGCACTTCGTGGGCTTATGTATCAGAACCCAATTGTGTCATGACTTAGTAGTCAGCAGGGAATATGGGTTGAATGAACGCAGGGAGTGCAGGGGTGAGCATGGTTGAGCCAGTGGGATGTACACACACAGGGCCCAAGGCCAGGATGCAGAATGTCATGTGTGCATGCTGGTGACATTTTGCGGCATCATTCATCAGGGTGTGTATGTGCGGGGCAGCTCCGCCTCTCACCCTCAGTCTTTCCCGCTGGAGGGGTTGGTGGGCAGCAGGGTCTGAGCTAGAGCTGAGGTGTCCACCAGGTGCTGGGGACATTGATTCCACTGGGGAGGTGACACACAACCAGCTGGCTACCCAGCCTCCCTGCCCTGGGGCAGGAATGAGGGAACAGCCACATTATCAGGGACACATTTCCTGAGAGCCCAAGGCCTGACTCACTCACGGAGGGAGGGGCCCTACCCTCTGGGCTTCCCCCTTAGCCTCCCAGGCACTCAGCGCTCTGCCTGCTCCCAGCAAGACCACAAGGCCACACATGTGTCTGCGTTTACACCTTTATTGTCTGCTCCTCCCGCCACCCCCAAGGATTCCTGGGCCCAAAATAGCCCAATTATCAGAAGCGGCTGCAGTCTTGGTGGGTGGGGCTCTCTGGAGGTTCTGGCAAGGGAGCCAGCTGGTTGGGCCACATTCCAGCCCTACTGGGCGGGAAATGGAGGGCAGAGAAGGAAGTGGCACTGGGACCCAGGCCCCTTAGCTCTGGATCAGGGGAGTCAGTAGCAGCAGGAACAGAACAGCCCGAGGGGAGCCTGAGGCCCTAGCCAGGTCTGGGGGGCAGAGGTCGTTGCCCTCAGGGGGCCAGTAGGGGGAGCCACCAGGGGGCAGGAAGTGGGCCTCCCCCACCGTTTGGGAGATCCAGGCCTCTTCAGGGCCAACGGCGGCAAAAAGCTCCTGGCTGCCTCGAACAGCCATGCCCATGAGGACCCAGGAGCCTCCCTCAGTCTGGCACAAGAGGGGAGGGGCTGAGGTCACCTGCAGAGTCAGAGCCAAGGCTAAATGGGTCTGTTATCCTTCTTCCTGGTCTCCTGCACCTTCCCCTAGGGTCCAGCCACAAAGCACTCCTTGTCTCCATCTTTAAGCATCCAGGCTGGTCACTCTCCAAGGCCCAGCCAGCAAGTACTGCTTCCCATCTGGGGCCCAACACTCAGGAATTCCAACCCTGGTCTTTCTCTAGGATCCAGCTGCCCAGCATGGCCTCCCCACTCCCTGGATCCCGATGCCTGGGATGCCTGTACCTCACACGTGTCCTCCTGCCCCTCTGCATACAGGACACAGAGGGTATCAGGGGACAGAATGCTCTGATAGAGGCAGTGACACAGTCGAGATGTCAAGATGGAGACAGCAGCAGCCACAGGGACTAGACAGAGGAAAGAGTGTTGTTCCAGGGTTCTGGCCTCCAGTTACTCCTCACTCCCGTGACCCAGGGCTCTCACCTCGGTCCTGGGGGTCCTTCCAGCCCAGCACCCAGCAGCTGGCCCCCGGAGGGATACCCGCTGGGTAGAGGCAGATGGGCAGGGCTGATGGGGAGGGCTCCACCCTGGAGCTCAGCTCCAGGAGAGCCAGGGGGGGCCTAAGTCCCAGGTGCCGGGGCAGGCGGATGCTGATGACCAACCGGGATACCTGGTGGCCCTGTGGGAGGGGGCTGGCCCCTGCCCGGCCAAGATACACTTCAATGTAAGGCACTGTCGTAGAGCCCAGCCTGTTGGAACAAGGCCCAATGTCACCTCCTGCTCTTCCCATTGCTTGTAAAGTCTTCCTCAGCCCAGGAGAAAGGGTGGAATAACTCTCAAAGGTCATGCCACTAACTCCTTCATTACTCCTCCTGCCAAATCTCTCTTCTGTCTTAAAACATCTCACAGCGGTTTCCCTGGGCTGTAAGAGCCCTAAAGGGAGAATATCCACTATTGTAAGAGGCCTTTGGTTCATTTCCCCATTTTTCCCTCCAGCCTCTTGCCTAGGAAACGAGTGAGACCCACCTGAGGACACAGTGAGTGGCTGCCAGGACCCAGCCTGGGGCCACAAGGATCCCAGTGCAGACTCGATCACCAGCCACATGCACCTCTGCCAGCCAGGGCCACAGGACCCCCACGGGAGCGGCCTCTGGCCGCAGGCCACAGGCTAGGGAGAGGAGAGGGCCACCTCAGTTGGGGCCCCACAGCTGAACCCTGAAGCCCCTGCCATGGATCTATGTATCCCCAAGAGCCCCTAAGCCATAAAGGCGCCCTGCTCACCTCCATGCTCTGTGTGTGGGGGACAAGTCTGTGCCTCAGTCTCTTCCCCTTCAGGACCCCAGTCCCAGGCTAGCTGGTCCTCCAGGTAGGCTCCCCGAGTCACATGGCTGATCCATGGGCCATGCGTCTGCAGGGGGAAGAAGGCTCGGGGACGTAGACAGTGACTGGAGAAGTCTCTGATTCCAGCCAGGAACCAGGTCCCTTCTTCCCGGCACAGAAGGCTCCAACGCGAGTCATTCTGCGGCAAAAAAGTATGTATGCGTGTGTGTGTGTGTGTGTGTGTGTGTGTGTGTGTGTGTGTGTGATACTAATTTGTGTAAGAATTCAGCCCACACTTGAGGATTAAATCTAGGGATGGAGAGAAACCCCACAACCCGCTCAAAGCCCCACCTGACCCCTACTCCTAAAAGGTCCTCCACGGCCAGGCTCCGCCCCCAGCTCCTTCTGGCCCTGCCTCCACCCCGTCTCCGCGCCCGTAGCGCTCCGCCACGCCCAGTTCCTCAGGCCCCGCCCCCAGTTCCCTCCGCCTCCCCCGGGGCCTACTCAGCCCCGCCTTCCACACGCTCCGCCCCTGCCGCTCACCCAGCAGCGGCCCGCCTCCTCCTCCTCCTGGTAGGCGGGGCAGAGTGCAAGCGGCGGGTCTCCCGGCAGCGGCACTGACGCCCCCTGGCGGCCATATAGGCAGTGACACCACCAGCCGCTCAACAGCTCCGCCTCCAGCAGCGCGCTGGGG